CGTAGCCATGCCCTTTCGTCGACAAAAAAGAGGCCGTGTCTCCCCCGAATGTCGGCGGGCAATAAGCCTGGCGGATCCAACCATTCAACTTCAACACATTTTGAGATATACTGGGCCTCAATGAGGTAGTCCTGGCGCTGAAGTATCAGCACAGTTTACTATCCTAACGAAATGCTGACCAAGGAGTCAAAGGCCTTCGGAATATGATGGAATGCAACTTCAAATTGTTCATACCGATCATCATTTACCAGATCGGGGTTTGGTACACGGCAGAAGCCATCAAGACGGCGTATGCTGTGTCCAAGACTGGCGTCGAGGCGGGGTGCCTTCACTTCTAAGACTCGAGGGGAAGGAATTGGCACGGAGTACGATTCGGAGGAGATGTTGACAATTCGGAGCCGCCCAGCAGCCTCTTGTCTCGCTGTCATAATCTGATCATCGATAGACATGGCTTCTCCGGGATGAGAGGGCGACCATTTTGGAACCGCTGGAGAAGGATCAGGCGCCGAAACGTGTCCTGATGATAAGGAAGATGCGGGGGTTCGCATCACAAGTTCAGTCCAGGACCCAGACTCTGGTGAGGCAACAGCGATGGCAGACACAGGAGGGATTTCGGAGTTGACTACTGTCAGTTCACACAAGGAACATAATCAAGAGAACCCACGGGACTGAGAGTTAGGTAAGGACATGATGTCAGGGGGGACAACAGTGAGATCTCTGTGTGTACTGAGCTGACCCTGGGGAGTAATTAAAGAGCGAGATTGATTATTATGACTTGGCTCAGTCTGACTGCTGGACGAAGTACCAATACCGAAAGATGGAGGAGGAGCTAGGATGTGAGCAACCTGAAGCATTTTCAAGAGGAGAGTCCCACGATTTAAAGGTGACTGAGACCGAGGAGAGTATACTTTGGGGGGTCGACCTGGAGTAGCCGATTTCCTCTTCAAGGCGTTCACAATGAGTTGATCCGCTTGATTATTCCTGGACATGAAGTAAAGTCAGGAGTTCGGAAGAGTGGACAGACAGTATTGACATATTGATGAAGTGAAGAGAGTGGAAGAAATGATGCCTCAACAACGCCCACTAGTGCCTGGGGTTGATCCAGATATCCTTTCGGGGCGCTGTCCGAATTCGGTGATCAAAACGCTGTCTCGTGTAAACCATTACGAATTTCGGATTTTTACCTACATGAATGAGTTCAGAGGACTGCTGGCAACGTTTTGATATGCGACAGAACATGCATGAGTAAGTATTCAGTGAATGGGTGGAATTTCGGTATACCAACGAGATTCGCGTTGGCAGTGACAAGATCCTCGGGTTGAGTGACGGGTTTTGGGAGAAAGTGGCAAAATTTCAACCGGATTAATTCGCGCCACGTCGGGATTATCCCTACGCGCCTACCATCAGGGGCCCCATCACGATCCCGTGATGCAAAGGACGTCTTGAATCGAGGTGACTCACCTTTCTCACCAATCGCTTCTCGAAAGCAGCGTCAAATTCGTATTCCTCATGTTGCAACTTGGGAAGGTCAGCCTCAAGTGCGGCAGTGTCGATATGTTCAAGGCCGGGCTTTTCGTATGTCAACTGAGCTTCTGGACCTGACATGGTGGCGTAAGGGATGTAGATAGGTAAATCAGACAAATCGAGCTCGTCGTCTGATCACGGTCTATATGTCGACCATTTGCGAAGGGGAGTTGGGGGAGTTATAACAAAGTGTCAAGATGGACAATTCGGATGAACCGGGTAACCGAGGGTTGTCGAGGAGCTCCGCTTTGGAGTTAATGGATACGCCCTGAGCAATCCTTCTTGCCGTCGGGCCGGGCGGAGATTCCATGTGGGGCAGGAAGACACGTCGTGGGGAATGTGACAAACCTCGGACGTCATGCGTTCATGCGGATAAGGGATCGGCATTGAAATGAGTACAGTAAGGGGAACCGCGAGAAAAGTGCGCAGGCTGGGCGTCGCAAGCAAGCAAGCAAGGGAGAAATCGCGGCGTGGGCCCGTCCTTCGCGCTAGGACAAATGAAGCACTACTCCAAGTCAGGAACCTCATCAGCAAGCCGGTAGCCTCGGCGGTTCAATCTCTACTTCGGAGTCACAAAAGCGTACCTTCATTGTTCATTAGCCTGTCAAAATCCTGCCTCAGCTATCCAGGCTCGGGGTGCTAGGCATGGATCTATGGACAGACCGACAGACCAATAACCTCTCACCCTCTTCTTCTACCCCTCTTCATCCGATCAAGGGAAGAGCATCAAAAAGCGGGGGTGGCGCAGGTCAGCCAAGCAAAGGCGAGCTAAAAATATTGTTCCCGTGTTCCGAAGCGGCGTTAAGAGATAGCCCACATTCCGCTCATCGGCACACGGTGTTTCTCAGCCGGATGTCTGGTCCCTCCTCTACCGCACAAACTCGTCGCCCTCCACTTACAGACCTACATCTAGATAGGCGACGCTCTTCTCTTCACACCTCCAGGTCTCAGCTTCTGACACGCTTGTCAAGATGCCAATCTCCACCACCTTGGCACCAGCGAGTGATCTCTACCTCGCTCCTCCTTCTCACCTCGTTCTCCAACTGGCCGGTCGCAGAGCGGCCGCATTCCATCTCCCGGTATCTTGTCCTCCTACACCCAACGATTGTCTAGGCGCGAGCTTCTTCGTGTATCTACCCACAACTCATCCTGTGACGCGGCGGGCGAAAGGTGTGGACACTCAGGGAGAGGGGACGACGTCGTATCCGTTATTAGTACTAATTCATGGGAGTGGAAGGGATGCGGAGAGCATAAGGGAGAGATGGGCGGGATGGGCGGAAGAAAAGGGTGTTGTACTCCTCGCCCCACTATTCCCTTGTGATGACAGGGTGAGTCAAAGACACTCCTCCTGATTGACAAATCCACTACTTGACTATGATCGACATGAGGCGTGCGCCGTGCGTAGCGTAGATGAGGGAGGGATGACAGCGCTGACGTCGTAGTATCCTGATGGGGTGGACAACTACAAACGACTTCATTGGGAGACACCCAATGGTGTGGCGCGGTACGATCTTCTCCTCCTGGACGCCATAGACTATATCAGTAAGCGATGGGGTTTCGTACAAACTGAAAGATTTGGCCTTTTAGGGTTCTCTGGCGGTGGGCAAGTGAGTTTTCACATTCTCGATCAGTCTTACTTCTACTGATAGGCGATCGTCGCCTATCACATCTGTTGTTCTGGCCCAAAGCGATAGCTGACCTCAGTTCACTCATCGATTCATGTACGTTCACCCCCATCGACTATGGGCAGCTTCAATTGGTGCTCCAGGTCAAGCCACATTCCTCGAACAAAAGCCATGGCCAAAGGGTATATCAAACTCTTCTTCTCTTTTCTCTCATCCTATAGAGCCAGTCTCATTTCGTGGTCTGCCCATCCAGCTCATCGTAGGCAGTGCCGATACTTTACCCAGGGTGGGAGAGGTGGTGACTAGGTATGATGTGATACAAAAGCTTCGAGGACAGTTTGAGGAGGGAGGCATCGAACATGAGTGGGTGGTGGTGGATGGTGTGGGACACAGTGAGAAGGGCGTGTTGGAGGATGTCAAAAGGTTCATAACCCAACATCTGCCGTGAGTTCGTCGCTCATGGCTCACTTGCCCCTCCCCGTCTCTCGGGACCATCTACTACTGGCGCTGAGATTTCCGCGTGTGCTGATTGGTAGTGCTACGACCAATGGGAAGCTTAACGGTCATACTATGGAGATCCCTACTGTGGAACCTGTCAATGCGTGAGGTAGATGCAATAGAATCATGCATCTTATGTAGACGGTTAAGTACACGTAGATGTGGTGCATAGACCCGGGGCATACCCGCGGCAATAGGCAATTTGTGCAACGCCAAGACAGGGTACATACACGGTGTACCCTTCGGAGGGTTTCTTCCCCGCATTCCACCGAGGCAACCACTACTTGTTGCTTCGAGAGAAATAGCTTACTACCACATATCATCTCACCCATGGTGCCCCATGCCTATGCCCCATTCATCCATTGACCATCTTATCGGTGCTCCACATGCCTACTCCCCTTGGCTTTTTCTGCTAGCACACGACCACGACAGTACCTCTATACCTCTGATCCTATAGCCTTCGGAACCCCTACCTCTCCGTATATCGTACCATGCCGATCTCTGATGACGCCTCTTCCGGTCCAAGTAGGAGGAAAAGGGTAGCGCTGAATTGTGAAGAGTGTCGAAGGACTAAAGCCAAATGTGAGTCGATCTCTAACTCTTCGATCTTTGATTTCGTCCGTCGGATCGTCAGGTTTGTACCTACTACCAGTACCATTTTAGACCCACACTAGGACCCTTTGATCGACACGCCATGGTGGTGGGCTCGGGGCTAGAATGGTACTTTGCCGTACGTACTTGCCATGCTGCTGCGGGGTGGTCTGGCAAAAAGGTGCGCGAAATG